CCTCAGTTTATCCACCAAAGGCTTATACCTTTTTCTGTCTTGCAGTACTGCTCGGGGGAGTTCTCTCATCACCATAATCTTGTTTCCTTCCATTTCAAAAGGGACGGTGAATTGTTTCTTAAAAATATCTTCTGTAGTTGTTCTTGTTACAAATTGTACAATAACATCTCTTGGTAAATTTTTCTTTTCTGCAATTCTGGAGTTCACTCTGTATATCAAATCAAAATCAGAGTCCATTGTCCCTTCATCTTCTTCCAAATATGATGTTATTGCCTTCATCATTTCATCTCTTATATCTTCATTTTCCTTCTCTTTAATGCCCCTGAATCTCAGATGGGTTTGCATCCTTCTGAACTCCATCATTGTTTCTGATCTTCTAAATTGCTGAGTCAAAGAATCCTGTTTTTCTTCCACTTGTTGCATCTTCTCTTCCACTTCCGTAGTTTTGGTTGCATTAGCCTGAATCTCCTTTTTGACTCCTTCTATTTCTTGCTTGATTGAAGTTATCTCAGTAGTGACCAAATCTTTAATTGCCGCTATGTTCTTCTCCTGAACCTCTTCAAGTTGTTTCAGATGAATCTGAGTCTGCTTTGCCATTTGTGCCTCCAGTTGCTTTTCAATCTGTTCCCCCATCCTTTTTTCACTTTGTTCTCCCATAGCTTGTATTGCTTCCAGCATCCTTTTCTCCATTGCCTCCATGGCAGCATACATCTCTTTCTTATCCTTCTCCCTCTCTTTTGACATCTTGGGGGTTGGTGTCAGCCTAGTTGGTGTTGAATTAGTTCTTGGTCTCACTTTTGGCTTAACGTCAGGATCAGAGTCAGCTCTTTTCGGTCCTCTTCTAGTCTCCGTTTTGGTGCTTTTCCTGCGGTGCGCAAATTCACAAACAAACAGTCTCTTCTAAAGGGTAGCCTTCAAACAGCCATTCCCTTCTATTTTCGCTTTTAAAAACCCTCTAAAAGAAGTTTAAAGTCAAATTTAAAGTCAGGTCCTCCTCAAAATGTCGGGCGCAACTTCTCTATGGTATTCGGGTATAGAGTAGGTCAGGTTACCGTATTCCAGGTCCCGTCTGTTCGTATACACTCACTTCCGGTTCTGCTCTCTTGTAGCTCCGAGTCTCTTCCTGTTGGCTTCCTGTTGGCTTCAGCCCTTCTTTCAGGGCTTCCTCTTCCTGTTCCAGCACCTCGGAGTATTTTTTTCGTTACACCGGCCTGCTCCTCCCGCGATACAGTTCGTCAGTTTCAGTTTCGGTTTTTGGCTGCGCGATGCGTTGGGCTAAAAACTGCCCAAGCTGTCAAAAGCGGCCGTCGCTCACTTCGCACAATCGCGAAAGTGTGTCAGTCCTCCATCTTAGCCCGACTGGAAGCCCCCAGTCCCTTCTTCTCTTCTTGTAAGCCACTCTGGGTCCTTACCTTGGGTATAAATGAAGTGAAGCAACAGGTAATTTTATTTTGTAATGGTTGGATTCATCTTTACACCAGCTCAGCAGCTTTCAAATTCATGTAAAATATGTTAATTACTTGCATGTAAAGTATGTAAATTCGTTTAGCATCTTGCCCCCTGGTGATGAATGAATTTCACACTCCCTTGTTCAGATATTTAGTGACAGTATTTATTTTGAATGGCATTTCGGTTTTAAACCAAGGCCGTCTGGGGCTTTTTGGACGTTTCAGAATGTTTGAGAGGAACAATCCTCTGTTCTCGTATAAGTAAATTAGAAACTAGGGGGAAACTATTGTGCCGTGTTGCTAGAGGCAGACCTGTCGTTTGAATTTTTCCTCTCTTTTTGGCTGTCTGTGGATTTGTCTAACTCTGTTACTTCACCAGTTCTAAGCAGACCAGATTGAGAGAAAGGGATCTACACCAAGCAGTAGAGTGAGATGGTGAAATCCTGCAGTGATGGATAGACAGACTGCAGGATGGGGGGGGGGAATGAATTTCTGGCATGTTCCTCTAAATATTAGAATAAGTCTGCTGCAAGGAGAATTGCAATTAGATAACTGGCCGTTTCTAAACTTCTCCATCTGTTTAAATACCAAAAGATACATAAAATAATTGCTATAAATGTAAAACCCTGGCCTGGATAACTCAGGCTAGCCTGATCTCATTAGATCTCGGAAGCTAAGCAGGGTCTGCCCTGCATAATACTTGAATGGGAGACCACTAAGGAAGTCCAGGGTTGCTATGCAGAGGCAGAGAATGACAAACCACCTTGGAATGTCTTTTGCCTTGAAAACCCTACAGCAGGGTGTCGAACTCATTTGTTATCAGGGGTGAGATCTGACATAAATGAGACCTTGTTGGGCCCGGCCATGTATGTCACAAAATGTAATGCCAGGTAGCAGAGATATACACTTTATAAAGGACACAAACACAAAGGTTTTTTTTTTACTTATAATAAAAACATGCTTAAAACATTAGCACTCTTGCAGTATTTTGTTTATGTAACAGTTTCTGATAACTCTGGATTACTGCATCGAAATGTCTTTGCTGTTGCAATCTTGAGTATGCTGTTCAGGTGTGTATCTGAAAGCTGCAGACCTACGATGACGCAGCAGCAGCAGAACTGGAAGAAGAAGCAGAAGACAGCCAGTTCCACTGCGGGCCTGATAGAAGCCCTCCGGGGCCCTGATCTGGCCCCCGGGCCCCATGCTTGACACCCCTGCCCCACAGGGTTCCATTAGTTGGCTGCAATGAGGGGCGTAGCCAGAAAATTTTGGGTGGTGGGGTGCTGGGAAATCTGAGGGGGGGCAGGGGGGAGGGAGAGAGATACCGCGTCGGCAGGCAAAGAAGAGAAGGGTCTCTCCTTACCTACCGACCACACTTGTTTGTCTTAGCCAGTACAGGAGAAGGAGAGCCGGCCAGCCAGTGCGATTAATACTCAGCAAGTATGTGTTCTGTTCTACAGTAGCGGCAGGCCTCACCCACCCGCTACTGTAGCACAGAGTGCATAGTCACCAAATATTAATCCACTGGCTGGCTGGCTCTCCTCCTGTAGCGGCAGAAGCAAGTGAACATGGCCAGCAGGTAAGGGCAAGGGCGGCGGGAGTAGTGGGGCGTGGGCCAAGAGTGAGGGGGCACCGCCCCTAAATGCCCCACTGTGGCTACAGGCCTGGCTGCAACTTGACGGCACTTTCCTCCATAAATACAGAAGTAGCATGGTGGGGGAAAAGGCTAGGCTATCATTTAGCCTCAGGAGAAATGAAATGGTTGAGCCTTCTCAGGCCGCTTGTGGGAGAATTGCATTGGTGTGTTAAATTGCCTGTAAATAGAAAAAGTACCTGAACTTCTCCTTGCTGTATCAGTTTTCTGCTTAAAGAATTTTGCTGTGGTGGAGCCTATCCGGTATCTCTGTCCCCCAGTTGGTATTCTCTACTCTTTATTGTTGCTGTGCCTCATGTATAAATGTAGGGCAGATATAAGACTGAAATGTAGAGTTCCTGGGGAATATTAAAAACTGGCAGAGTTGCTGCGGAGCAATCATGGCTTCCCAAGGAGGGTTTGGATAGGCTTTGGGCAAAGGGTACAAATTATTATTATTATTAATTATTGACTGGATTTCAACCACCCTCCCCTGCCAAAGCAGGGCTCAGGGCTGTTTACAACATAATAATATATAACACATAATTAAAATTTAAAACCAATAAAGTCCAATAAATGACCTTAAAAGATAGTATTAAAATTTTCAACAGTGCCAGTGCTTCATGGGGGGGGGGAGTGCGGGAGGGATGCAGCCGGAACATCTCTGCTTTACAGGCACTGCGGAACTGTAGCAGGGTCCACAGGGCACGGATGTTATTTGGCAGAGAGTTCCACCAGGTTGGAGCCATGGTGGAATGATCTTTTGGGAAAGGCATAAATTCCTTCTTCTCGAAGCCCCTTATTCTGAATGTGGTGCAAAGACACCATAAAATGGCGATCTTGGTCTTAATGAAGACGTGGAATATTGAGAGATGTTGTGTATGGTACATAGATGCTGTGTATGGTATATAGAATTCAAGATTTTGTTCTTTTGTAGGTCACTAGCTTGGTTGGTGTAACGGTTAAGAGCATAGACTCTTAAGCTGGGAGAACAGGGTTTGCTTCCCCACTCCTCCACATGCAGCTGCTGGTGTGACCTTGGGTCAGTCATAAGTTCTTTCAGAGGGGTTCTCTTAAGAACAGTTCTGGGGAGAGAGCTCTCATCCCCACCTACCTCACAGGGTGTCTGTTGTATGGAGGGGAGGGGAAAGGAGATTGTAAGCCGCTCTGAGACTCTCGTGGGTAGTGAAGGGCGGGGTATAAATCCAATTTCTTCTTCTCCCAAAGAGTGATTAACACATGGAATTCACTGTGACAGGAGGTGGCGGCGGCTACAAGCATGGACGGCTTCAAGAGGTAATTAGATAAACATATGGAGCAGAGGTCCATCAGTTAGCCACAAGATATAGATAGGAACTCTGGGGTAAGTGACGCTTTGTATTCTTGGTGCCTGGGGGGGGGGGCAACAGTGGGAGGGCTTCTAGTGTCCTGGCCCCACTGCTGGACCTCCTAATGGCACCTGGTATTTTTGGCCACTGTGTGACAGAGTATTGGACTGGATGGGCCATTGGCCTAATCCAACATTGGCTTCTTTTATGTTCTTATGTTCTCTTAAAGCTGTGTCTCAGAAGCAGTGGGGAAGCAGTGCAGTCACTGGGCTACAGACATATGTACCTTGTCATAAATTTAGATCTGTGATGAAAGAATCTTGTAATCCCAGAATGGGATTTGGAATATGGAGATTTATCTAAGCGAGTACCAGGGGTTCTAGAAGTGGTTGTGGTATCTGTAGGTCTTTTCTTGTGATACTTGTAGTCTACTTCCATTGTGTCTTTAGACACATATATAACTTGTTCTATTGATACATTATGCTTGACAATCGTCTGCCGCTGAAAATGGCAACCTGCTTGTTGAAGATTTCCCATCATACCTGTGCAGTGATGTCATGAACTCTGTGCATTTCCTTTTCTTGGCTGCAGGTATGTCAATGCAGTACTAGATCTGCGGCTCAGGTGAGAGCTACATTTGCATTTAGGTAAATGTAAAGGTTCCCTTGCTCGAAAGCCAGTCAAGTCCGACTCTAGGGTTGCGGTGCTCATCTCCGTTTCAAAGCCGAAGAGCCAGCGCTGTCCGAAGATGTTTCCGTGGCCATGTGGCCGGCATGACTAAACACCAAGGCACACGGAACGCTGTTACCTTCCCACCAAAGTGGTACCTATTTATCTACTTGCAATTTCTTGCTTTCGAACTGCTAGGTTTACTATCAACCAAAAGAGCCGCATAACTATTGTACGCCCTGTGTGCCACTTGACCAAGTACAAGGTATAACTCTTATTAAATATATAGGTATAACCTTTTAAGTTACCGGAAAACCTCTGAGCATGGAGGGTTGTCCTTTCCACCAATGCTGAGCCTTAGCCCCTTGTGTGTCTGGAGTGGGAGGCGTGGCTTCCCTGTCTGCCTTCCCACTGTCTCCTCAGCATAAAGCACCACAGGTCAACCAAAAGCCAGGCTGGGCAGTGGCCTTACCCACTTCGGTGGAACAGGGGGTGTGTTCCACATTGGGGAACAGTACTCAGAAGAACCACGGGTGCCGTGTCAAAGAGCCACGTGAAGAAGAGAAGAAGAGATTGGATTTATACCCCGCCCTTCACTTGGAGTCTCAGAGCTGCTTACAAACTCCTTTCCCTTCCCCTCCCCACAACAGACACCCTGTGAGGTGGGTGGGCCTGAGAGAATTCTGACACAAACTGCTCTTTTTCAAGGACAGCTGTGCCAGAGCTTGTGACTGACCCAAGGTCACATCAGCAGGTGCAAGTGGAGGAGTGGGGAATCAAACCCGGTTCTCCCAGATTAGAGTCCGCGCACTTAACCACTACACCAAACTGGCTCTCCTGAGCCATGTGGAGCTCCTGAGCCACGTGGAGTGAGCATCACTGATGGAAGCGATGACCAATTTAAGAGTGCATATATATTACGGGAAGAGGAAACAAGAGGACTTGACAGGGGGTTTCCATTTTCAGCAGCAGTCCCGTGTGGGGCACAGCGTGCATCATGACATGAGACGGGGTTGTAAGAGCTGAGACGAAAGAGAGATGTTGCTCCTTGGCCGTGGAGGTTGTAACGGGGTTCATATGAGCGTTCATACAGATGAGAGCCTGCCTTCTGGGTTAACTACAGTTAGCTTTCAAGCGAGGCTTCCCTCTCGTCACTAACAAGAACGTTTATGTAGGAATGGCAAATTGGGTATTAAAGTGGAAAAATAAGGGCTTGGGAAGAAAGCTGGGCTTGTGAAAGAGGGCATGCTGTCACGAGCACTTGTGTCTGGAGAGTGATTTCCCATGGTTTTGGTACATCTGATTAGTTCTACTTAAACACTCATCCTTTGCTTTCCATTCTTAACACCCTGTCGCTTTATGTTTCTGAGAGCGTTGTAAGTGAAGACCAGTATCTTGCATGTTGTAGAAGGGCTAGTCTGGTACGTGTGGTTTATTTAAGTGTGTGGTGTTTATTTAAGGTTCTGAATGTTATTAGACTGAAATAGGTGTTCATTCTATCAGGGTTTTTTTAAAGGCCTGCGATCTTGGCAGATCTCTGATGTATGTAAGTCGACTCCTGAGGAGATAGATGTTAGAAGAAGAAGAGGAGCTTGGATTTATACCCTGCCCTTCACTACCTGAAGGAGTCTCAGCAGTTTACAATCTCCTTTCCCTTCCCTCCCCACAACAGACAACCTGTGAGCAAAAATTCTGCTTTGTGAGCTACTGGCATTAAAGTTGTGAGCAAGAAATTTGGCTCCTGCATAAATTAATTTGCTCTGGAGCCATCCTTCCTGAGCTGAGACAAAAATGTGTGAGCCGGAGGCTAAAAAACTGTGAGCTAGCTCACACTAACTCAGCTTAAAGGGAACACTGCCTGTGAGGTAGGTGGGGCTGAGAGAAGTCTTTCGAAGATTGCTTATAAGAGAACAGCTCTGAAAGAACTTGTGACTCACCCAAGGTCACACCAGCAGCTGCATGTGGAGGAGTGGGGAATCAAACCCAGTTCTCCCAGATTAGAGTCCACATTCTTAACCACTACACCAAAACTAGGTAAATATTTAAATAGGTAAACATGAATTATTTGGAAAACTTAAACCTATTGAAGTGTTCCTAAGCAGAGTCAGTCATGGTCAGTATTGGATGGGAGACCCGCGAAGTAAGTCCAGGGTTGCTACACAGAGGCAGCCAATGGCAAACTACCTCTGAATGTCTCTTGCTTTGAAAACCCTACAGGCTCGTCATAAGTCTGCTGCGACTTGACATCACTTTACATACACACGCATGCTCTTTTACCCTGATCTTGATGGAGACCTAAGATACCTGTTGCTAAAAATATCTGCCCTTGACTAGCAAGGCAGATATGTAAGCAGCTAGTTTCTTCCTAAGAAGTTGGAGGCGCGTTGCGTGTTTGTGCATTTTGCATCAGACATTTGCATGAGTTCAGATGCAGTGCTATCTGTCTGTGTGGTACCTTGGTGGAGGGATATGTTCCAGTCTACAGTGGTGATGAAAGCACACAGCCTCTTCCCGTGTGCTGCCCCAGCCAGCTTGAATGTGCCTTTAAGAGTAGTTGCACCCTGGGAATTGGAGTCCACAGTTAGGGGTCCCAGAAGCTTCCCTCTGACTGGCTCATTAAGAGCAATTTCCTGAGCTCAGAAGTGCAAAGATAGGGGTTTATTATTCCTTTCCGCTTTCTTTGTTCATCAACTCTTACTGCAAGGAGAGGGGAAGCCATCTCTTCTCTCACCGCGGCTATAGAACTGACCTAGATGACAAGATGTAACTTTCCACCCAGATATATCAGCTGATTGTGAGTAAACTATTTTCTGACTGCGTGTGAAGTTGAATAAAGATGATTTAGGCTCTCTCAGTAGTCGTGGTTGACTCACACCTAGAGGTGTTGGCTTAGCACAGCTAGCGCTGGACGGGATATCCCGTATTTTGTGTAACAACTGTATATGGCGTGAATATTATTTAGATCAAGGCCAAGAAGAAAGAGTCCAACTAGAACCTGAGGTACAGACTAGATGGACCAGTGTCGGATCCACCTGGGCTCTTCTTGTGTTAAAATATGTATTTAGAAACTGTGGAAGAAAACTAAGGCCTGTGTTTTTGTAGCATGCTGTCGTAATTGCGTCTCTCACGGAAATGACAGTTTAACACAGGAGTCCCCAGTCTGGTGCCCATGGGTGCCATGGTGCTTTCTTACACATTTCCTGGCATCCACCAAGTGGTTTTAGAAAGCGGTGTGTGGCCAAGTGGGGCTTTTGCCGAGCAAGGCTTCTGAGTGGCCCTTGGAGATTTGATTGGCTGTGCAGATATTTTAAAGCGTTGCTTTGGCGGCAGCTGCCATCATAGCACAAGGATCTTCTTTGTGTAATTGAAGGTAAGCTGTGGCAGCCATCGGGTGCGTTCAGACGGGAGATTTACAACGGAATCTGTGCCGGTTGCAATCGTACTTACCGGCGTTCAGATGGCGAACATCTGTCTTCCCTCCGTAACTGTTGTAAAGCCTTTTAAACCATTGCACTCTGCCACTAGGTCCCCAAGTGGTGGTATCCTGAGTGCAACGGTTGCGTTCGCTTAACCCCGCCGTCTGATCGCTCTCCACCGGTATCTAGCCACTTCCGTTCGGAAGCCTGAGGCTTCCGATTTTCGGCCACCATTTTTTTAAAACTAGGCAATGTGCGCTTGGGCGAAGTTTCGCCCTGAGCTTTTGTTAAAAAAAAAAAAAGTCCATAGAGTAACGTTTCAGGGGAGTCCGGGACTTCAGGGAGGCCAGTTTGGGCTTTAAACTTTAAAGGTAAGTCCTTACCTTTAAAGTTTAAATGTAATACTGGGTGTTTTGAGCATGCGCAAAGATCGCCATTCTGTGGATGGCTGCCTATGCGCATGCTCAAATTGTTTTAAAAAAAAAACGCCGACGCCCGCAGCGTACAGCATACAGCGATGGGCTCCGCAGAATGGAGGTGAGTGTGATCGCGTTTCAGCCGGCATAAACTGCACCGATTCCAACCGGTACAGTTTATGCCGGCTGAAACGCCCCGTCTGAACGCACCCATTGTGTGATCGCCTCCACCACCTGCGGCAGCCATTTTGGGGCAGCCATTTTGTGACCATGCCCACCGTACTGTATCAGAATTCCAAGGATGCCTGCAGGCTTGAAACAGTTGGGGACTTTGATTTAGTGTGTTTTGAATCCGTCTTCTTGATTGCTTTATTGTTATAATTCTTGCTTGCTTTCTGAATAGGTGCTTGTGTGTATCTGTGTGTAAAAAGGCCTCTTAGGCTTTTTTGGGTAGGCTTAGTCTGATTGGGAGGAGGTGCTCGCTTTCTACACTTTGAGGTCATTTATAGCTTCATTTAAAAAAAAGAAAACTACAATCCCCAGTGATGCTGTTAAAGCATTTAGTATGAATCTGCCAGTTATTTCTAGTGTTCATTGGTGCTTCCCTTCTGGTAGTTCCTCTGAAGGGACAATCTGGTGTTTCCTTTGCTCATTTGACAGAGTGGTATAAATAACTCCAGAACCCCATCTTGGAATTCACGATCTAAGTGACTTTTTTGGAGCACCGATGTTTTAGTGAATCGTATTATACTGTATTTTATACTGTTCTTTATATTGTTTTATTGTTTTAACCTTTGCATTTATGCCTCTTTGTGAGCCGCCCTGAGCCTTTGGGGAGGTCAGGATATAAATAAAAAATAAAATAAATAAAAAATAAATATTTTAAGAGCATTTAGTGTTTTAGAGTGATTTCACTTGGTATCAGCAAAGAAAACAATTGATTCATCCCCTAATATCTGCTGGCAAATAAGTTAAAGTGCGTGGATTTTTAAAAAAAGGATGCTCAGCCAGTCACATTTGGAGGGCCCCCAAAAAATCAAGGATAAAATGGAAAATAATGCAAGAAAAGAAGGAAAGGGGTGGATTTGGAGTCCCAAATTGGAGGTTGTACTACCAAGCGGCATCTTTAAATTGGATAAGGGATTGGTTAGTATTGGAAAACACTAGATGTTTGGCATTAGGAGGTTTTGATTTATGTATGGGGTGGCATGCCTACATTTGGTATGGTAAGGATAAAATTCATGCCAATTTTCAACAACATGCCCTAAGAGGACCACTGCTTAAAATTTGGAATAATATGAAAGAACGCTACTATTAAAAAAACCCCACCTTTATGGGTATTTCCATTAGAGGCATTTGTTAAGCCCTCACTAATAACAAAGATTCACAGAGAAAAATATGAAATTTTACTAGATAAAAAGAAGAAACTGAAAGACGGGGAAGTTTTAGCAGATCAACATAATATTAGGCTTTCTTGGTGGGACATTAATCAGTTAAGATCAAGATATGATAAAGATGTTCAAGTTGGGTTTGAGGAAAGTAGAAATGAATTAGATAAGATTTGGTTATCATCGAATGATAAACTGATTCAGAAATTATATAATTGGCTACTTGAGGAGAATATGTTGGAAGAGACGGTGAAAACGTCAACGGTGTCTTGGATGCAGGACTTAGGACATACAATAAATTTGGAAGAATGGCATAATGTATGGAAAAAACTGAAAATCTTAAGAGCAGTATCTTATAAAGAAAATGTATATAAAATGTATCATAGATGGTATTGGTCTCCAGATAGAATTTCAAAATGTCAAAACGATATATCTAATACGTGCTGGAAATGTAAGTCCAATGTAGGTACCTTCTACCATATGTGGTGGAGATGCCAAGAAGTGCAAAAGTATTGGAAAATGGTTCAAAACATAATTGAGGAAATTATGAATGTAAAAGTAAATTTAATTCCGGAAATATATTTATTGAATATAATATCAGGTGATAATTACACACGTAGAGAACAGTATATTCTGTTGCATATCTGTGCAATCTCAAGGATTTTATTAGCAAAATATTGGAAGACTGATAGAGTACCCTCCCAAGAAGAGGGTTTGAATTGTTAGAAGTAGTAGAAATGGACTGGTTACAAGCACGAGTATGTGGGACTAAAGAGAAAGTAGTTGCGCAAAGATGGTCAAAAGTTAAACTATGGATTAAAAATAATGTATAAAGGACTCGAAATATAGAAAACGTATGATATATGTATATGTACTTAATATAAAAAACTAATAAATAGATTAAAAAAAATAATTCACAGGGTCGCCATAAGTCAGAAGCGACTTGACGGCACTTAACACACATCGGGTTGTAGAAGGTCTTTAGTGCACTCTCCCAGCTTGCCTTTTCCTTCCATTGTCTTTCCTCCATTTACCCCACTGGCCTGTGCCAACTATCCTACTTCTTGAAGAGCCAGTTTGGTGTAGTGGTTAAGTGCGCGGACTCTAATCTGGGAGAACTGGGTTTGATTTCCCACTCCTCCACTTGCACCTGGCTGGATGACCTTGGGCAAGCTATAGTTCTGGCACAGCTGTTCTTGAAAAAGAGCAGTTCCTGTCAGAGCTCTCTCCGCCCCACCTACCTCACAGGGTGTCTGTTGTGGGGAGGGGAAGGGAAAGGAGTTTGTAAGCCAGTCTGAGACTCCTTTGGGTAGTGAAGGGCGGGGTATAAATCCAATCTCTTCTTCTTCTCTTAAGGAGAAAGTGGCATTGTAAGTCACACCTTGGTCTCCTCTGAGATGTGTCAGAATAGTATTGCCATAGCAGTTCTGTTTTTACAGGTGGAGAAGCAGACCCGGGGCGGGCAGGTGGGGGGAGATATTATTATTAACCTGTGAAGGCAAGTGAACAGGAGTGGGCAGGAGGTGGCATGGGTCACGCTGCTGGGATTGTTGACGGCCTTCAAGCTTGCTATTAATAAACACTGCTGTAAAGAAATGTTCCCTCTCCTTCGGTTTTGTACTCCGTAGGTAATTCTGGTGTGCTTGAGACCTGGAGCATTTTGTTGCTTAGGAGACAGTCTGTATGTTTTGTGTTTTGGTCCTGCTTTTAGTGGCCACTGGCCCCCGGCTGGGGTGGGGGCAGGATTGGTGCTGTGGGTCAGGAGAAAGCTGCATCCAGCTCTTTTGGGTTCATTTTTCTGGAGGTTCTTAAGGATGTGTACTTATTATTATTTTTTAAGAGAGTAAGACTGTGTTTCCTCCCTCCCCTTTAGCGCACAGCCTGGGCAGAGTGCTGGCACAGAATATGTGGAGAGATACAGACAACTGGAGGCAAATGAACTCGGTGCATCAAACAGCAAATGTCCTCCATGTGAACCAGGTAAATTTTATCAATGCAGTCTTGCATATATTGTAAGAAGGGATCATGAGGATATCATAGATGATCACGGTGAAAGTATAGGCCGTGTGGAAAGTGCTGTCATGTTGCAGATGACTTATTGTGTGACCCCATAGATTTTTCAAGGCAAGAGAAGTTCAGGGTGGCTGGCATCTGCGTAGCAGCCCTGGGTTTCCTTGGTGGTCTCCCATCCAAATGCTAACCAGGGCTGATGCTGCTTAGCTTCCGATATCTGACGAGACTGGCCTAGGCTGGCCATCCAAGCCAGGGTGAAAGTGTAGACAAGGGAACATATATTCAGGTGGAGTAATAGAACAGAGTTTGAGTCCAGTGGCATCTTTAAGACCAGCAAGAAGAGAAGAAGAAGAAGAAGAAGAGATTGGATTTATACCCTGCCCTTCACTCCCCAAAGGTGTCTCAGAGCGGCTTACAAACTCCTTTCCCTTCCCCTCCCCACAACAGACACCCTGTGAGGTGGGTGGGGCTGAGAGAGCTCTTGACAGAAACTGCTCTTTTTCAAGAACAGCTGTGCCAGAGCTACGGCTTACCCAAGGTCATCCAGCCAGGTGCAAGTGGAGGAGTGGGGAATCAAACCCGGTTCTCCCAGATTAGTCTGCGCACTTAACCACTACACCAAACTGGCTCTCAAAGTTTGAATTCTGGGGAGAAGAAGATTATACCCCGGTCTTCACTTCCTGAAGGAGTCTCAGAGCGGCTTGCAATCTCCTTTCCCTTCTCCCTCCCCACAATTGACACCCTTTGAGGTAGGTGGGGCTGAGAGAGCTCTTTCGAGAACTGCTCTTTCCAGAACAGCTCTGAGAGAACTGTGACTGTCCCAAGGTCATGCCAGCAGCTGTATATGGAGGAGTGGGGAATCAAACCCAGTTCTCTCAGATTAGAGTCCACACTCCTAACCATTACACCAAACTAGCTCTCCAGTTTGCACATGGAAGTTTATACCCACAATTAAACTTTATTGGTCTTAAAAGTGCCACTGGACTCAAACTTTGTTCTAGAGGAATATATGTTTATTCTTTGTTCTAGAGGAATATATGTATATTAAGGACTATTTTAGGCTCCGACCCAACAGGTACAAAAGATATCCGCATGCAGGTAGGTGCTGTGTGTGCATTCCCTCAGGCTAAATAAATCCTAGTCATACTTACTTTCTGAAGTACCTGTTATCTTTTGGGGAAGAAACAAGAATGCTGGATTAGGGCTCCCCCCCCCCCCAGCTTCATGTTTCTTTTACAGGATAGGCTATCAGGAACTTATTTATTTATTTGTATCCAGCCATTCTTTTTTTGTGTAAAATCTCCTCAGTTAGGTAACATTAAATAACATTAAATGAATATGAATGTGCATTAGCGTGTGCATGCATACACACACACACACAAAAGGCATCTTACACTTTGACCTGTTCTGCTTCACCTTGCCCCCCAGTTTAGTTAAACTCCATCTTTGGACTCAGGACAGGAATGGGTGGGTGGGGAGGAATGTTCCTTCCCCTCCAGTGCAAGTCATTTGGAACGTCCAAAGGTAACCTTAGAAACAGGAACCAGCAGAGGGCTCTGCCAGTCCAATCCCTGGCATCGTTTGGGCAGAGAGGAGAATATATGCCTTTCCAGAAAACGTAGAATTTCAGGAATGGTTTGGGGCAACAGTTGGGGGGGGGGGAAACCCCTTACATATACTTCTGCAAACGCTAGAGACTTAAAAGGAAGTAATTCTTCACCCAAAGAGTGATTAACACATGGAATTCACTGCCACAGGAGGTGATGATGGCTACAAGCGTGGATGGCTTCAAGAGGGGATTAGATAAACATGGAGCAGAGGTCCATCAGTGGCTATTAGCCATGAGGTATAGACAGGAACTCTCAGTCTGGGGCAAGGGATGCTCTGTATTCTTGGTGCTGGGGGGGTCAATAGTGGGAGGGTTTCTAGTGTCCTGGCCCCACTGCTGGACCTCCTGATGGCACCTGATATTTTTGGCCACTGTGTGACAGAGTGTTGGACTGGATGGGCCATTGGCCTGATCCAGCATTGGCTTCTCTTATGTTGTTACTTTTATGCAATACTGGATAGTAGAAACCATTTCCAGCCCCCATCAGTTTCTTTTTTCTATTCTCCGTATTTCTTGAGTTGTGAAACAGAATGCGGTCTCACTTGAGCATCTTTTTGTATACTTGAGGACTTGCTAATGGTCCGATCAGCCAATGTCCCCCATGAACCCTAAACAATCGGAAGATGGTTCCTCAGTGGCTCTCAATGGCTCCCAGCCAGGACCTCCCTGTCAGTTACGGTGGGACCAGGACTAATATTCTGCTGCATGTCTAGCAAGAGAGAGTACGGTTTGAAGAGATGCAAGGGATAAAAAAGGCTCAGTTTTGTATTTGGCTGAGAGTAGAGGTTGGGGAAGGGGGCATGGAAAACGTTTTCACTGGGAAGAAAAAGGCATCCTTGACTGACTGGGTGATTCCTCACAGTGGAGTGAGAGGTGGGTCCAGTACAGCTTCCTGTGACCACTAATACAAGGCACCTTCCTTGTCAAGGCAGGAAAGAACTGGTGAAGGACCAGAAGGCAGGGAGAGATAAACTAGGAGTTCTGATACACACTACTCCTAAGCCAACTTTTACCTCAGGTTTCTGAGGTAAAACCTCCTTTGCCAGTATTTTCTGGTCGGGTTTGTGTGTTGCTTACAGGTTTACTTTTCCACTTTTTCTTTTTTAACCTGTACCTTATTGAGTGGTTTTCCTTTAAACCAACATGTTGATAAAAATCAAAACCCATTACTAGGTATCAGTACAGTCTGAATGAATATCCTTCAGTAAGTGAACAACAAGTCTCTAATCTGCAGAACATTTCTGTTGTAAACCATAAAACATGAAAATGTGTTTCGATGTGTTGTTTTCCTAAGGGATCCCCTTTACAAAACTTTATAACTACGACTGCTCGTTTATATAAATAGAAATACAGTGGATAGAATTTTTAAATTATTTTATCACCGTGATTTATGGTTCTTGAGTTGGATTTTAATATTTATTTACGTTATTTATGGTCCTCCTTTGTCACTGGGACTTAAGGTGGAATACGCAGAGTGAGTTAATACAATTAACAGGATGAGACGTTCCGTAAACAGTGAAAGCAGTATTTGGGCTGTAGAACCAACCAGAAATCTTAAGAACAGAACTAAAGCAAAGCAACATTTTTAAAAAAATTATTTTTATTAAAATGTTCAAATGTTTAACAGAGCAATACAAACATTGTCAACTTGGTGAGCTACATTAAGAAAAGCATTCTGAAAAAACAGTTCAATAATACTTTTTAATGTGCCCTTATACTATTTAGTTGAGTAGTGCTAATTACATATTTTGTATCGGGAGGCAATTCAAAGAAAAGGACTGTCCCGCTCCAGTGGTCACGGCCAACGCCCCGCCGACCCCGGGAGCCGGGGCAGCCAACCCTGACGAGCGATGCAACGACTCACCCACGGAGGCACAGAGCCACGAGGCAGGACGGCCCCACCTCCTCCCAGGCACAAGCGCGGGAGTCCGGTCGGGCTCGGAGGAGAGGCGGCAGCACGGGAGGCGTCGGGAGAGGGAGGTTCCTGCGACACGCCGTAGAGGAGAGGCAGCTGGGCGGCGGCGGCAGCGCGGCCCCACGGCCGCCAGAACCGCTGCCGGCGCTCATGCGCATCACCCAGAGACGCCCCGTCGGCGTCTCTGCTGATAAAGGGGGGAGGAGCCACATACACGGGGAGGAAGGGGCGGGCTGAGTGGGGGCGACGAGGGAATAAAAGGGGGACTTCAGAGAGGGCCGGAGAGGAGAGCACGCTGCGACCCAAGACGGAACAGAGAGAGAGTGCACTGATAAAGGGCGAGAAGGGCACTAAGGGCGCAGAGACGGCGTGCGGGCAGAGGGGCACGAGGGGTGCCTGTAACCCCGCCCCCTGCCAGTCTGAGGCCACCTTTCCCCCGCTTTCACTCAAATCCGCCTACCACTCAGCCTGCCCACTCTCCCACGGCAGGGCTGACACCTCCCCACCACGGCCATCCAGCAGCTGCATGTGGAGGAGTGGGGAATCAGACCCAGTTCTCCCAGATTAGACTCCGCGCACTTAACCACTACACCAAACTGATGGGCTTTGTATGTAGTAGCCAATACTTTAAATTGAGCACGGTAACTGATGGGCGGCCAGTGGAGCAAATAGACCGTGTTATGTCCAGTGTTCCCTCTAAGCTAGCTCACAGTTTTTTAGCCTCTGGCTCTCACGTTTTTGTCTTCGCTCAGGAAGGACGGCTCCAGAGCAAACTAATTCATGCAGTAGCCAAATCGCTCGCTCACAACTTTAATCCCAACAGCTCACAAAGTAGAATTTTTGCTCACAAGACTCCACAGCTTAGAGGGAACATTGTTTATGTCATAATTCTTGCAAACAGGCAGTAGAAAAAGGGTTACCTTGCCAAGAATTTCAAATGTCAAAATTATGAGCTACCGGTCTTGCACAGTGCGAGGCAGATTTTTCTTTTTTCCAGATTCCAAGGTGCTTCAAACAAACTAGCACCTGGCATCAAGGCTCCTGGGATTTTTTTCAGCTCTGCCAGAAACGTATTCCCCCCCCCCAAAGCATCTTGAAATCTCCTCTAGCATTGGTCAGACCATGCAGAGTTGTTGATGTCTCTGTACTGACATCTATGAACTTGCCAGAGGGTGGGTAGCCAGCCAGCCAGCATTGCCGTGTGGTGACAGAGTGCCGTCGTGTGCATGAGCTTTCCCAAGGAATATATTTCAGAAACCGGGCCAGAGAGTCTTGTAAAACTGACTCTTGCTCTCTTAAGGGTACAGTCCAGCCAGAGATAAGCACCTTTAAATGTCTATTGACTTCAGTGGGCGAGAAATTGTACTAGGGCGATAAATGCTATGAATATTTAGCAGCATTTGTATAAAGCTCGAAGGTGTTTTTTTAAATGCGTCATATAAATCATCTCAGGGATTCTTAACAATCTTGTTTCTCCTCTTTTGCATTAGAGAGCCAGTTCTGTGCTGATTGTTAGTGTGCTGGGCTGCAAATGGGGAGACTTGAGTTCAAATCTCCGCTCATCGTGAAAGCTCTCTTGGTGACATTGGGCCCGTTGTTCATTCTTATTTGAACCTGCCTCACAAGGTTGTTGTGAAGATAATATGCTGGATGAAAGAATTATGCACACAACCCTGAACTCCCTTGAGAAAGGGTATGATAAAAGAGAGAAGGAAGGGATGTTGTAAACTGCCCAGCATCCCCTTTGGCGAGAAGTAGGGTATAAATGAAGTAAATAGAAATTAGCTAAATTATTAAGTTATGGCAGTGGGGCATGTGGGTTTCTATGTTTTTACCTTCAGGTCTCCAGGGTGGTTAATTTGCTTAAAAATCTAATTCAGAATTAAACCAATAAACCCAAATAAAAAGATTTAAAGCAAGAGATGTCTGTTGCTCTTATCCCAGTGACTTGTGCCGTTTCCCTGAAGTCATAAAACTGGGACTTCGATCATCTGAAACAGTCAAAACATCTCCCTAGACTTTCTGTCTTTACTTCTAAAAAAATGAAATCCCAAAGTGTTTGGCATCAGTATTCACAAACTCCCTTTATTCCAGTATGAATGCAAGGTTCAGTTGTTCAAGTTCCACCTAGTTGACTTGGTATCTTACTTTGCTTGCCCGTGTAACATGGGTACTGTACCTTAGAAGGTCCCTTGAACATCCAGAATCTGTCTCAAAAGGATGGATGGGTCCTAGACCAGCTCAGATGCAATTCAGACTTGTCACTGACGATGCATAAGACTGGCGTTGCTTTTTGCCCCTCAAGGGCAGAAGAACATAAGGACATAAGAGAAGCCATGTTGGATCAGGTCAATGGCCCATCCAGTCCAACACTCTGTGTCACACAGTGGCCAAAACCCAGGTGCCATCAGGCGGTCCACCAGCAGGGCCAGAGCTCTAGAAGCCTTCCCTCTGTTGCCCCCCCAAGCACCAATAATACAGAGCATCACTTGCCCCAGACAGAGTGTTCCATCTATTCTTTGTGACTAACAGCCACTGCTGACCTCTGCTCTATATTTTTATCCAATCCTGTCTTGTAGCTGTCTATGCGTGTAGCTGCCACCACTCCCTGCAGCAGTGAATTCCACGTGTTAATGACTCTTTGGGTGAAGACGTATTTCCTTTTATCTGTTCTAAGCCTACTGCTCATTCATTTCATTGAGTGCCCATGAGTTCTTGTATTGTGAGAAAGAAGTATTTTTCTCCCTTTCTCTACTTTCTCTATCCCATGCATAATTTTAATAACTGTTGAGGGGAAGGGAAAGGAGAATGTAAAGCTGCTCTGAGACTCCTTCAGGTAGTAATGGGTGGGGTATAAATTCAATCTCTTCTCTTCTTCTTCAGTGATAGAACATGCAGAAGGTCCCAATGCAATCCGCAGCACCTTCAGTTAAAAGGACCAGGTAGTCGGTGATATGAAAGAACTTTGCCTGAGAGCAGCAGCCAGTCTGAGTAGACAATAGAGATCTTGATGGGCCAAGAATCTGATGCAGTATAAAACAGCTTTCATGTGTTCATCTACATGTGACCATCTTAAAAAATCTGTACCTTTGCATGCCTTTTATTTGTCACATGGCCCTTAACCCTGAGGGTCAGTCTGCGTTGTAGCTGTTATGCATAATTAAGGATGCCAGCCCTGGAAAACGGAGTGTCTAAATGAAAGGGGACCTTTTGCGTTCCCTGTTTCAAATGAGGAGCTCTGTCTGCAAGAGGTGCTGTAAAAATAGCTGGCAAAATCCACCAACTGCTTCTGCTGTCTAATCCTATCTGTATTCTGAAATAATTGAAGCAGTAGAGCGTTATATCAGCAGGGGCAAAAGATTCTGAGGCTGTGTGTGTGTGTGGGGGAGGCTTGCATAAAGTCCACGGGATTCTGGAGGAACGGTGAATGTTGAGCATTTAGCAAGTCGGTGGCAATCCAATTAAATCCCAATTCAAAGTGTAGGTTTTTTTCTGCGTCTGTATAAGAAAACGTGCCTTGAACAGAAATTGATCCAGATTATTTATAACTTTCTCTAAACCAGGATAAGCAAAATGCACTGTGTGAAGGACCTGATTTTAGTAGAAATCCCCAAACCTTTTACAGGCTCAGCTCTGAGCAAGGCTTGCCATACAATGAACAGCAGGTAGGATAGTTACTCTCCAGTCTCATTCAGTTCTTTTTAGAGAACAGGCAGACGCCAGTGTGAAAACGAAATGTGCTTGTTGACATTTTGTGACAAAACGCTGTCTTGAGTATCTTTCTCATTTGAGCAGTATTTGCTACCGCAGCTGATCGTTTCAGATGCTATATAGAAAGGGGCAAGACTTCATTGTGATGGGCGTGTGGTATCACTGCAAGAACTTCTGCTATAACGGAAGACCTCTCAGAAAAATGTGTTGGTTGCCCAGTGGTACCAGAAGAAATACGGGTGTACACCAGCATTGTCATGAAGCTGGGAGGAGGGGGTTCTCTAGGATTTGCAAATCCTGGAGTGCTCCCTTGACATCATGATGTCACTTCTGGTTTTCACTGGAAGTGATGTCAGCACTCCAGTTCCTGCCCCTAGAATGCTCTCGGGGGTTGCAGCCTGTAGAAGGATTTAGAGGTAATCATCAGTTACAATCCACAAATTTTGGCTGGTCCTAGTAATCTGCCATTATTTTATCAACCCTCCCCCCATCCTCAGTGCTATGAGATCACTGTAAGTTGGATCTGACTTGACAGAACGTTCCACCACCAGTGCCTGAGATCTTGGAGAGCTATTCAGAGTGAACTGCACTAAGTGAAATGGGCCAAAGGTCTGAGTCAGTGGATCTGTTCACATGTTCCAGTGAACTCATGTGCATCCTGCATATAAATGTATACATCTGTTTGTAAGGAAGAGCCAACATGCATTCACTTTAGAATTGAAACCAGGGACCTGTCCCTAGATAAAATGTAGGGTTTAAATAGCAGGGCCGACCCTGGCAAGTATTTGGATTGGGAGACTTCCAAAGAATACCAAGGCTGGGAGGCAGAGGCAGGCTATCAAGCTACTTCTCTGAACTTCCTCCGTGCCCCAGTAGGAGTCGCCAGAGGCCTCCATGACTTCCAGGCACAGGCTCATGCACACAGGCTGATTCTGCATTGGCTTTTCCGTCCCTGGTTTTAGCAAACCCATGTTGGAACAGAAATTCCCCTCTGCATTGCATGCTGTTTTTGCTTCCTTTGATCATTGGATTTTATGGTAGTCTCCACACTCCATGCCGCTTTCGCTTCCTTAGATCATTGGATTTTACGGTACCTTCTGCATAGATTTATGGCTGTTTTATGGCCGTTCAGGGGTGCCTTTGCAGTCAGTACGGCGTTGGCCCGTGGTATTTGAATGTGGGTTTGAGCTGCAGTTTTTCCTCCCAATTGAGAAAATATGGAGTGAATGCTAGATGCAGAATCGCCCACACAAATGCAAAACTACCTCCCAAAATAAAAAAATGGCAATTCCAGCTGTACATGCATTGAACATGAGAATAACTTAACACAGATGTAGAGAAGAGTCACGTGTATAATGAACAGAGATTGTACTTGTGGTCACTGTAGAAAAGAGCAAGAATCCAGTAGTACCCTAAAGACTAACAAAATTTGTGGCAGGGTATGAGCTTTTGTGAGTCACTGCTTGCTTCTTCAGATCACTGTAGCTTGTGAACTGTCATTTGCCTTGGAAGCACTGAAGCTTTTTCGCAGTATCCCCAATTCTCCACGTTTCCTGGTTAAGGCGAAAATGCTGTTCAAACAAATTACAAAGATGATCGGACTCCAATGGCAACAAGAGAAAGAAATGTTACTTACAAAAATAGAAGTACGTCTTACATGACATATTCATGTAGGTACAGTTAACTTATTGTGAACAGATTAACATAAACAAAATTAGCTTGCTACAGCTCGAAGCCCAGGTAAGAGACGTGAAGTCCTATATAAGATGAAACAAAGGCAAACAATGGCCAAATAGGCTCAACATCTAACTGAGGAGAGGGTGGGGCCAACTGTCAAGTATACCCAAGTGAGAGAATTCTTTCAACCCTTTCCCTCCCAGATGCTCTTGCAAACGGAGTTACAATATCCAACATGAATAGGGCTACTTAGTATTGGCATTGTCATGTGTACTTTCAACCCTTTGTGCTGGCTTTTCCCCAATGTCCATTGCTGGCCATCTTCTTGGGAACTGTTTTCTCTGAAATGTTGTGTCTACCTGGAAAACTTGAGTTTGACTTGATTTTGGGGGGTATGTTTGCGTGTCTGTTTTCAGCTCCACCTCAGCCATCTCCGAGTGACTCCAATGCCGTGGCTTGCAAACCAATTGACAATTACACATACCCAAGTTTACCCATCTTAAAGTACAAGGAAAAGGTAAATGGTGTTCATCTGGTTTGAATCTTGGTGTTGTAAATCTAAACTGTGACCACTCCCCCCCCAATTGTCTCTCCTGTCCCTCAGTGTATGGCTTGATTTGATTATCTGTGATAGGAATTTGAAAAAAGGTTGTGTCTCATAACCAGTGTATAGCTTTCCTCCCCTATATTACATAACTTGACTTGCACTGCTGTATGTTTGTGAGTATGCTAGTGATATATTTTATGCACTGCAAAGCCGGCCTCCCTCTGTTTAGCCAACGAGGGGATTGCTAGTATGTGGGAATTTGAACTCTGTTCTGCATGCCTTGGCTTGCTGTGTGCTGAGCCATACATCCCCGGTTTCAAATGAAGAGGTGAAAATGCCCTGTAGTAAGACTTCTGCAAAATTGGGATTGTTTCTGTAAAAGATTCAGATTTCCGCCTTTTGTAGGTGTGAACAGGGCTTTTTTGGTAGAAAAAGCCCAGCAGGAACTCATTAGCATAATAGGCCACACCCAACAGCTGAAACTCATTAGCATATTAGGCCACACCCTGACACCACAGCTCATTAGCATATTAGGCCTGTGTTGCCAAAAGTGTGGCCATCCAGCCACACCCCACCTTTTGCTTCTTATTCTGTTTACCCAGTTTGTTGTCAAAACCCAGGACCTTTTTTTGTAGCAGGGACTCCTTTGCATGTTAGGCCACACATGCCTACTGTAGCCAATCCTAATGAGTTTCTGCTGTTGGGTGTGGCCTATTATGCTAATGAGTTCCTGCTGGGTGTGGCCGACTCAGGAGCCAGCCGGAACTCCGTTCCTGTGCGTTCCTGCCCAAAAATAGCCCCGTGAAGGCACCTGGCCAGGTGTTCCAAAGTTTTCCGAAATTCCAAAGAAACAATATGCTAGAGTCAGGTTTGCTTACAAGGAGATTTTTAATAAGCACCAGACATACATGAAATGCAGGCTAAGCTTCCATCAGCTGGGCCTCGAGCACACGCGCACACTGCGGAGCTTGCCAGAATCTGAGACCACAGGCATAACTAAAACTAGACGTTTTATATTCTAAGTGCTGGCTGTGAGTAAAAAAAAATCATGAATTAAACTATCCCAGACACTTGGATGAGCCAGGCCATTTTGCACCTGGCTTCCAGTGGGGGAAAGAAACAACCCAGGCTTTGAAGACAAGCTCTGCACAAGCATGAGAGAGAGAGAGAGAGAGAGAAAGAGAGAGAGAGGCACACAGGTGGTGATGCAGTGGCTCTCCGACAGAGTTGGAAGACCTCTCTGTCACGAGGAGACATTTGTCATAATTTGGTCTCTGATCCTTTCGACGCAAGTTACAGTTCCGATTTTTTTTTTTAACAAATTTTTTTTTCTTTTTCATTCAGATAATTTCCTTGATCGAAAGCAACTCTGTGGTAATTGTGCGGGGAGCTACCGGTAGCGGCAAAAGCACTCAGCTTCCTCAGTATGTCTTGGATCGCTGTGCGCAGCGCTCTGTCTACTGCAATATTGTGGTTACTCAGCCCAGGAAAATTGGTGCCAGCAGCATTGCAAGGTGGATCAGCAAGGAGCGGTCATGGCCCCTGGGGGAACTGGTCGGATACCAGGTACAGGTGTAAAATGTGCATAATTTAAAGTTTACAGTGAGGGTGTGAAACAAAACAGCTCATGGGCTAGAACGGGCCCGCCCAGGGCTCTTACCCAGCCTGTGAGCAACTGATTACCTTTACTGCTAGATGACAGAGGCTGTACATCATGTCCCTATATACTGTCCCAGTGCTAATGAGTAATGAGCGGCGGGAGTGGGAGGGTGGGCATCAGTGAGAGACGTTAAGGAAAGTGTTGCTGTTTTAAGCATGCTTGTATTTTGAGTAAAATAGTATTGTTCATTGGGCTTGCCTGTGTCCTTTATAGAGTTTATTTCTCCGGTACCTAGCAGTTCGAAAGCAAGAAATTGCAAGTAGATAAATAGGTACCACTTTGGTGGGAAGGTAACAGCGTTCCGTGCGCCTTGGTGTTTAGTCATGCCGGACACATGACCACGGAAACGTCTTCGGATAGCGCTGGTTCTTCAGCTTTGAAACGGAGATGAGCACCGCAACCCTAGAGTCGGACTCGACTGGCTTTCGAGCAAGGGAACCTTTACCTTTTTACCTGGCATTACATTTCATGGCACACGTGGCCTGGCCCGACAAAGTGACATTTATGTCAGATCTGGCCCTCATTACAAATGAGTTTGACACCTCTGGTTTACAGTGTCCCTGCAATGGAAAATGCATCTCCCTCCCCCTTTTTCTTATGCAGCTGAGTTCTTGCACTGCATCCTGGCGAGTGGCGACAATTGTTGCTTTGGCAGCAGCTGCCACCACAGCATAAGGATGTTCACTCTGTCTGAAGGTGAGCTTTTGTGTAAGCAAGAAAATGAACAATACGTTCATTTGAAAAAGGCATCTTGCTAATCAGAGCTTCTGTCTGAAATATTAAGAGTTACTATTGGATTTATGCATAACCTCACTTCCTGAAATGTTGTGATTGGCTCTGCCTACAGCCGGCAGCCGTTTTGTAGTAGCACCCACCACCCTGTGCCCAAATTCCAATGGTGCCCACAGGTTCGAAAAGGTTGGGGACTCCTGTACTACATGTTCAGCCATATCTGACGATCCTGGGCTGGACGGGTGGCCACCTGAGAAAGGACCTGCTTGGTAGCGGCACTGTAAGTTTGGAACTCGCTCCCCAGGGAGACTTGTTTGTCTCCCTCTACCATTTTCTTCTGCCAGTGGACGAAGCCTTTTTTATTATGCTCGTTACGGTTGCTGTCTTTTCCTCCCGGTTCTGGTAGTGTATATGTTTTTATTGAATAATTTTATAATTTTAAATGCTTTTAATTGGTCAAATGTTTTCATCTGCACTGCCTTGGGGACCCTGATTGGGTGGAAAGGTGGCATAAAAATATTATAAATAAGAGTGATTAACACATGGAATTCACTGCCACAGGAAGTGGTGGCGGCTACAAGCATGGACGGCTTCAGGAGGTAATTAGATAAACATATGGAGCAGAGGTCCATCAGTGGCTATTAGCCACAAGGTATAGATAGGGACTCTGGGGCAAGTGATGCTCTGTCTTCTTGGTGCTTGGGGGGGGGGGGCCAGAGGGGGGGGCGTTCTCATGTCCTGGTGGACCTCCCGATGGCACCTGGTATTTTTGGCCACTGTGTGACACAGAGTGTTGGACTGGATGGGCCTTTGGCCTGATCCAACATTGGCTTCTCTTTTGTTGTGAGTTCTGGGGCAAGGGATGCTCTGTCTTCTTGGTGCTTGGGGGGGGGGCAACAGTGGGAGGGCTTCTAATGTCCTGGCCCCACTGGTGGACCTCCTGATGGCACCTGGTATTTCTGGCCACTGTGTGACAGAGTGTTGGTCTGGATGGGCCTTTGGCCTGATCCAACATTGGATTCTCTTATGTTCTTACGTTAACCTTTTTTGGGGGGGGATGCATGGGTGTTTCTGATGGCCCAGGTACTCTGTGGGGCAGGTTTCTCCAAAGGTGTTCAAAGTAGCAGCTGTTCTTAAAGTGACTGGTCTCTCCAGTGCTTCTAGAGGAATTCCTAGCACTCCTCCATTTATTTCCTCAGCCCAGGCTTTACATGGATTCAGATAACCACGCTGTTAGCACAATCGCTAGGTTATCTTAATGGGTTTCCTGGACACAGTGCCGAGTTTCCTGGGATGAAAACAACAGAAACTAAGGGCACAGCAATACATATGACATAGACTTACTGTCCATAGTGAAATAATAATGGTTGGTGATAAGAGCTGTTAGAAGCCTTCCTGAATGTTTGGACACCTTAGTGGTGAATTAGACTGTGAAAGGACCACTGGAAATTGAAGTTTGATAAAGATTGTTCTCGAAACGAACGGCAAAACTCGAGAAGTTCGTCCCGTTCTGTACATCTTGTCGACACCCTGGTGTCTGGATGATGTCCACCTGTTGAAATTCAAGAATTATAAACAACATGGAAGTTGAGTTTCCTGGGATGACATGACCATACATAATGGTGGTGTTAACAAGTTGCATGCATTGACCCTTCACCAGGAAAACCAAGGCCTGATGTTGTATGTTGCCAGTGGAGGGACCTATCATGCTGGGGTGATAGAAAACCACTTCACCTACTCTGCACATCTGTTCCCCCGTGGTCAGCTTCCTTCAGACATTGCTGAGAACTGTGTGCAGCAACACTACAGTGAATCTCCTCTGTTGGGCTTTCCCCAGAGTTTCTACAGTTTCCAGAAGAGATGGAGACCTTCACCTCTGGGGGCACCACTATTGTCTGTAGAGCTGAGGTGCTCCATTTCAGGTGGCAGATTGTAGCATGCCGGTAAAGGTCAGAAAGGCTGTAAACTGCTTCATTATTATATTTTTACCGTTATTTGTGTGTGGGGTATCTCGTATTTATTTAAATCATTTTATGCCACCGTTCCACCCAGTTTAGGACCACCAGTGCTCTGGTGGTTTTGTTCTTTGGGTACTGAAGAATGCTGAAGAATATTAGCATGAAGCCACGGGAATCTTAAGAATGTAATATGAGCCCTGTTGGATCAGACCAGTGGTCCCTCTAGTCCAGCATCCTGTCTCACACAGTGGCCAACCCGTTCCTCTGGAGGGCCGACAACAGGGCAGAGAAGCCAAGGCCTTCCCCTGATGTTGCCTCCTGGCTCTGGGATTCAGAGGCTGATAGCCTCTGAACTAAAGGTTCACTCTAGTCACAACAAACCTTGTTGTTTCTAAACCTTTTAGTTGCATTTCTGCATTGGTAGCACCTGAAGTCATGCACACCAGGATAGTAAACAATAGGAGATGATTAATAAAAACCATATATTACCAATTCAAGGCAACAATTTTGTATTACTATACCATTTGGACTATCGTTTGGGCTGGTTTTAGGATTCTGAGGTCATGGTTTAGAGCTCTTAATGTTCACCTTTGTCCAAAGCAGCTTTTTAAATGGTTGCATCTGGGTCTGCTGCAAGTCCATTGTTTCCGCATTGTCGTTTTTTGTCACCTGTTTGTCCCTATTGCTTCAGGGTTCCCACCCCCCAATGTGTTCTGCTGTCTCTAGTAGTCCCAGAGGGAGCAAAAACACATGTGGAGAAGGGGGGGACACCCGACCCAAAGCAATAGGGACAAATGAGCGATAAAAATGACAATGCGGAAGTGGCTGTGAGTTCCAGTTTGGTGTAGTGGTTAAGTGCGCGGACTCTAATCTGGGAGAACCGGGTTTGATTCCCCACTCCTCCACTTGCACCTGCTGATGTGACCTTGGGTCAGTCACAAGCTCTGGCACAGCTGTCCTTGAAAAAGAGCAGTTTGTGTCAGAGCTCTCTCAGCCCCACCCACCTCACAGGGTGTCTGTTGTGGGGAGGGGGAGGGGAAGGAGTTTGTAAGCCGCTCTGAGACTCCAAATGAAGGGCGGGGTATAAATCCAATCTCTCCTCTCTTCTCTTCTTCTCTTCCTTGCTGGGATTTCAATTCTCAGGCATGTGGGGGGTCCGATTTGTATGGAGAGGGTGCTTAAGTCCTTTCGCATCCATTTTCCTGACCTGAAGGGGATGTGGAGAGGGGTTCTTTTCCCTCCACTGGGAAAACCCAAAATACCCCTTTAATTCATGTGGAGCCTCCACTGGGGCAGTTACAGTTTTGTGGGGAAAGACCGGGGAGCATAACTAACTTCTCTGTGTTGCACCCGTGGTCCTGAATTGAGCCCGTCCCATATATGCTTGGGCACTGAACTCCCAGCAGGAAGCTCTACACTCACATTGGATTGAAAATCCTTATGTTGAATCCAGGGACTGTATAACATAACTCTTGAGTCTGTGTTGTCTTTCAAGCCAGCCTTCCTGTCCCCCGGAATTGTTTTGACTAATTTTGGATTCTTATTTAACACTTTGAAATGCGAGAAGTGGGAAAACTGCACACCGCTCACTTGTTTTCATGGTAGCTTCTAAAGACTTTTGAAGTTGAGTGCGGTCTCTGATGTTCTTCTAGGTTGGTTTGGAGAAAGTGGCATCAAACGACACAAGATTGATTTACATGACGACTGGAGTTCTCCTTCAGAAAATAGTTGGGGGCAAAAGCCTTGCGGAGTTCACTCACATCTTCATAGACGAAGTAAGGTGTTTTTTTTTTTGGGGGGGGTAAAATTAAGGCTGCTTGATTTCTCCTTAGGTGATGCTTAAAAAAATCCATCTCTCTGCCACGCTACACAAAAGAGCATCACTCTGACAAATACTCGGACCTTCAAGCCTTAATGCTCTTAAAAAGCAAATGCCCATCATTTTCTAACATGTGTAAGGTTACATTAACCTCCAGGGGGGAGGGGGGACCCAAGTTCGAGTGTGAAGGAGGCAAATGTATTATGTGTGTGTGGGAGTTGTGTGTGTGTCCGTATTTCTTTTTTAAAATTGGAATGTCCCCAGGTATCAGGTATCTTCCAGATCATTTGTGTTCGGTAGCCAGTCTTCTTGAGACTGGAAATTTACATATTTGAATTTACAAGTTTATTATTAGAAACCCATTTGTGTTGCATCCTGCTATCTTGGAAACTGCTCTTTGGGGTGGTTTGAATCATTTAGCGTCAGCTGGCCCTGACTGGTAACGATTCCCTTGTAATTTCCACCCATTAGGTCTAGTCTTGCAATCTGGAGCAAGAGAGAATAGATGGAGCAGATCTATTCTTTCTTGCTTCGGATTGCAAGACTAGATCTAATGGGTGGAAATTACAAGGGAGTCGTTACCGGCTTAAATATCAGGAGAAACTTCCTAACTGTAAGAGTGGTTGAGCAGTGGAACAGTCTGCCTCGAGAGGTGGTGGATGCTCCTTCACTGGACGTTTTCAAGCGGAGGCTGGACGACCATCTTTCGGGTATGTTGTAGGTATGTAGGGCTATCTTTCAGCTGTGCTCCTGCAGAGTGCAAGGGGTTGGACTAGATGACCTTCAAGGTCCCTTCCAACTCTAACGTTCTATGATACTATGATTCTATGACCTGGATAGCCCAGGTTAGCCCAATCTTATCAGATCTCAGAAGCTAAGCTGGGTCGGCCCTGGCTAGTACGTGGATGGCAGACCACCAAGGAATACTAGGGCCATGACACAGAGGCAGGCAGTGGCAAACCACATCCGAACGTCTCTTGCCTTGAAAACCCTATGGGGTCGCCATAAGTCCGCTGTGACGTGACGGCGTTTTCCTCCACCACCGGCAGGATCTGGCTGTGCGCTAGTGGAAGGGGGAGTCTGCCGAGTCCACACAGGGCTTGTTGCTTTAGGAAAGAAATGGACATTCTTTGTTGTTAGAGAAATCCATACTGTGACAGGAAAGGCATTGTAGGTGTTCTAGCTCTCCATCTGACTACAGGATGGAGAGAGATTCCGAGAGCGACTGCTCTCATGGAAGTCAGAGAGTGAGAGGCGTGGACAGGAAGTGAAGTCCACATGATAAGCATTCTGGGTAAGGAAAGGAGGCAGTAGAATAGACAAGGAGGAAGAACGCAGAGGGGTCTGCCCTGTCCCCCTTATTAGCTCTACTGTCCTCTCTGGAGAACTGGTGTACTTGATGGTTCTTCACTTCCAACAAAATCAACAGTAATATTGCAGTAACAACCGCCAGCCAAACACACAGCTGCCAGTTCCTCACCACCCTACCCATATTGTTTAAAAGCACATTGTTGTTAGCCGGTCAATCCATAATTACAATGCAGGGCAGGTCTGTGTGGGAGAAAGTAATTCTATTAGTACTATTGGTGCGATTCGAATAATATATTTTCAGATTAAGTGCAGACTTTGTACAGAAGATCCTGAAAGCTCCTTCCTCTTCTGCACATCAATGGGCGTTTATAAATGGTCACCAAAGCAAAAAGTTACAGTTGCCCTGGTGCAGTCAACATAGTTGGTTTTCTAACCTGGGGTCTGAGGCAGTCTTTAATTATTTACAAGCTCTGGTTTAAAGCTAACGTTAATGTAGGTGCACACCATGGTTGGGGAAACTGTGACCTCTGCATATTAAATTGGGCTCTGAGCATTAAAGCAAGCTGACTTTCTACTTCTGTTCTCTGTTTATTGTTTTTAGGTGCACGAGCGCACGGAAGACATGGATTTCTTGCTGTTGGTGGTTCGTAAATTGTTGCGCACCAATTCACGATTTGTGAAGGTGAGCGGGAAATGGATTTTGGATTAATCCTCAATCTGATCATAGCAGCTATGCAAATATCACCCCTTCGATCCTAAAACCAGAGGTGACCTCGAATCTCATGTGAAAATCAGAGCGTTTCAGCTCATCATTTTGTAACTTTAAGATCTCACCTCACATTGTGTATGTATTGTCTCTGGACCAATTTGTGAACTGTTTTTTGTTTGCAGTTGGGCTGAAAATAAGGGGTGTTACCAATGAGGGATGTGAATGGGTTGGATGAGTTTGGTCCAGAGCTGCGGCGAGCCAACTGGGAATACATAGTTAATATAGCAGAATTTCCCCAGTCATAGAAGCATGATATTGTGTGCAGCAAATAAAACTCCCAAGAAGTATATTGTAAAAGTAAAGGTTACATTTATTGAGATAGATTCAGTTCATATCCATGTTGCAGTTGAAAGGAATGGGAGAAACCTGATCTTAAAGATATTAATCCTTATCACAAGTGGCCTGATAATCCAGTGTCACATATGTGGGAGTGTGAGGTCACTGTTCTCCAGTAGTCCAGTGTGGGGCAGTCTCAACTCTTGGGAGAAGCTCCTCCCTATAGGCAGGCAGGGTCACCAATCTTTGTGCAATTCCTGGCGGGTAGGGGCTTCTCTCTCAGGTCCCAGTCTTTGGCCCTGTTTCAAGGCAGATAGATGTTGTTGGCTGTGCTCTGAGTGCCACAATTCCTGTTCTCCTTTTTAGTTTTTTCTTCTTCTCATATCTTTGTCTTCTCTTCTGTTTCCTTTATGGGGAGATCGACCAGGGAGTGGGAAGGATGTCCCCCCCACACACACACACCAAGTTTGATTGGCAGCAGAAGGAACGAGGAGCCATTTGCAGCTGTGGGCATTCTTCCCCTTCCCCCAGCTCCTCCATCCACCAGGATCTCCCAGCCGTGGGGTCTCCAGCCTTTAGGGGTTTTATTCTGTCTTTTTTATAGTGCCAAAAAAAAGAACAGTGGCACGAGGGCCATTTTAGACCTCAAATGGCTAAACAGGAGGATAAGAAAGAAGAAAACCCTCAAGTCCATATTATCCATCCATCCCGAAAGCAGATTTTGTGGCATCAATAGATCTGTCAGAGGTTTACTTGCACATCTCAGTTCGGGAATCACATCAGAGGTTCCTGCGCTTTTCATACGACGGACTCGGGTTTCAGTACCAGGCTCTTCCCTTTGGCCTCAAAACAGCACCAAGAGTGTTCACCAAAGTCTGGGTTTCACTGATGGTACACCTAAGAACCCAGGGAGTCTCCCATCTTCCCATATTTGGATGGTATTTTAATCAGGTCCCCCTCTCATCAACAGGGGATGGAGGATGTACGTCGAACCGTCTCATGCCTCCAGGATCATGGGTTCATCATCAGCTGGGAGAAAAGCTGCTTGTCTCCATCTTAGAGGGTCCCTCCACCTAGGGGTTGTAATAGACACGGCTCAGGACCAATGTTCCCTCTAAGCTGTGGAGTCTTGTGAGCAAAAATTCTACTTTATGAGCTACTGGCATTAAAGTTGTGAGCAAGTGATTTTGGGTACTGCATGAATTAGTTTGCTCTAAAGCCATCCTTACTGAGCTAAGACAAAAATGTGTGAGCCAGAGGCCAAAAAACTGTGAGCTAGCTCACACTAACTCAGCTTAGAGGGAACACTGCTCAGGACAGAGTTTTCCTATTGCAGGAGAAACAGGAGAAGATTCTAGCTTCAATACAGGAGCTCACTCGTCAGTCCCAAGTGGAGGTAATGTCCCTGGCAAGGCTTCTAGGGAAGATGGTATCCTGTCAGGATGTTTTCCCGTGGTCCCGGCTTCATGCTTGTCCACTCCAAAGGTTCGTTCTGCCCGTCCAGGATGTTATAGCAAACAACCGGCAGTTCGGGCTAGTTCAGATCCCTGATTGAGGAACTCCAGTGGTGGACAAAATCTTCCAGGTTTCTGGAGGGCACTCTGCTCTGGGAACCAAAGAGGATGATGATGCCAGGCTTACCAGTTGGGAGGCCCACTCACAAACGAGACTGGCTCAGGTCATCTGGTCTTGGGAAGAGTCGTCACAAAGCAGCAACCTTCTGGAGCTCAGGGCAATAAGGCTAGGGCTGTTGTCTCCTAACAGGGCAGCACGTCCTAGTTCCCATGGACAATATGACAGCCACGTCCTATGTCAGCCACCAGGGGAGGTACCAAATCCAGGATACTCCGTGCTGAGGCAAAGGTGATTGTGCAGTGGGGCACATCTGAGGTCAATCAAGGCTGTTCACATGGCTGGACAGGACAACACATTCGCGAACTGGCTCAGTCGGAGGGCTCTAAACCAAGCAGAATGGATGCTGAACAAGGCCACCTTCTAGTGGATATGCCACAAGTTCGGCGTGGTGGAAGTGGACCTTTTTGCGACGGAGCAAAACTGCCAAGTTCCATGGTTCATCTCAGGGACAAGGTCTCCACAAGCCATAGGGGTAGGTGCCCTAATCTGCGACTGGCCGAATCAGCTGCTGTATGCTTTTCCCTCCCATGCAGTTAATCCAAAGGGTGATCCAGAGAATCATAGCCCTCAAGGTGGAAGTACTGCTAGTTGCTCCATTTTGGCCATGGAGGTCCTGTCTATTATGGAGCAGTGTTGTCACCCATTCAGGAAAGACTTTCTTTGCCAGGGATGTCTCGTTCACTCTCCCAGCCCAGATTGCTAAGCTTCACAGCCTGGAGGTTGAGGGGCTGCAATTCGAAGAAATAGGATACCTGGCTAAAGTTATTAACACTCTGATAGCTTCCAGGGAAGGTTCCACTAACAGGCTTTATGATAACGCATGCCAGGTCTTCCAGTCATGGTGTTCCAATCACGGGCTAGAGCCCCTTATAGCTAAAGCCGGAGACGTTCACTCCTTCTTGAAAGAAGGTCTTAGTACTAGTACACTGAAAGGGCAGGTGGCAGCCAGTGTTCCCTCTAAGGTGAGTTAGTGTGAGCTAGCTCACAGGTTTTTAGCCTCCGGCTCACACATTTTTGTCTTGGCTCAGGAAGGAGGGCTCCAGAGCAAACTAATTTATGCAGTAGCCAAACTGCTCGCTCACAACTTTAATGCCAGTAGCTCACAAAGTAGGATGTTTGCTCACAAGACTCCACAGCTTAGAGGGAACACTGGCCATTTCCGCCATCATGGGAACTAAGAAAGGGAGGATCTTATCCCAGCAGCCTCATGTTAGGAGGTTTCTAAGGGGCACGTCCTTGATCAGTCCACTTCAGGCTTATCACTCCCTTCATGGAGCCTGAATGTAGGGTCCACGGCTCTCTCCCAGACTCCATTTGAGCCAGTGGCCACTTGTCCTCTCAAAGAGTTCACTTTTAAAACCATCTTTCTAGTCAGTATCCCTTAAGCCAGGAGGGTGTCAGAACGTAGAGCTCTCTCCATGGACAAAGAGCTCTGTGTCTTCCGCAACGATAGGGTAGTGCTCCGTCCAGACCTGGTCTTTGTCTTCTGTCTTCTGCCTTTCGTAGGTTGGAGGACCTGATTCTCCCCTCTTTCTGCCCTAGTCCGAAGCAGCCTCAGGAGAAGGAGTGGCGTTGTTTGGATGTTAAGAGGGCCCTGAGCTTCTGCCTTAATAGGACTAAGCCCTTTCGTACGACTGACACTGTGTTTGTCTCTTTCAGGAAGGCTTCCCTAGGGCACAGGGTCTCTCCTTCTGCCATTAGTAGGTGGGCTAGGGGCTGTATCCTTCTCATTTACAGGTCCACAGGTCTAGACCCTCCTCCGGATGTGACGGCACACTCCCTCAGGGAGGTGGCAACCTTTGCAGCCTACAGAGTCTGCCCACTTCGTCACCAGGCACTACAGGATCGATACATTAGCCTCTGCAGAGGCTGACTTTGGAAGAACGGTCCTACAGCATGCCTTCTCGGTCTAAGAGCTGAGTCTCTTCCCTCCCCTGGGGCAGGCACACTGCTTTTCTGTGTCCCAGAAGTTGAGACTGCCCCACCCTGGACCACTGGAGAATGGAAGATCTGTCTCACTTACCATGAATCTTCCTTCTCGGTGGTGCAGGGGCGGAGCCAGTCTCCTCCCACCAAGAAGAGAAGAAGAAGAAGTGATTGGATTTATACCCCGCCCGTCACTCGGAGTCTCAGAGCAGCTTACAAACTCCTTTCCCTCCCACTCCCCACAACAGGCACCCTGTGAGTCAGGTGGGGGCTGAGCGAGCTCTTTTGAGGACTGACCTTTCAAGGACAGCTCTTGTCAGAACTATGGCTTGCCCAAGGTCATCCAGCAGCTTCAAGTGGAGGAGTGGGGAATCAATCCTGGTTGTCCCAGATTAGAGTCCGCGCACTTAACCACTACACCAGACCACTACACCTAAAGGTAGAATTCTTGATGCTAAAGGTAGAATTCTTGATGCTAAAGGTAGAATTCTTGATGCCTGCTCTTGGAACATCCTTCCTCTTCCAGTGAGGTTCTCTGTGAGTTGTTTCTACAGTATGTTTGTGCCTCCGCACTGCTATGTTGTTTTTTCTCAACTTTCAGTCGGAGGTTCTTTCTTGGTTTTTTGTATAAATGTTTGGGAGTGGGGGTGATACTGCTTTAGGAACCAGACTGGGATCCAAGAGGGAAGCCCCTCCCTTCCAGGAACCACACAAAGATTGGCATCCCTGCCTGCCTATAGGGAGGAGCTTCTCCCAGAAGTTGAGAATGCCCCACCCCTGGACCACTGAGAAGGAAGATTCGCGGTGAGACAAGTCTTCTGTTTCTACAGGAGAGGCCTGTAGAGACACGTGACTCCATGAAGAGCCATCTTAGGGTTGCCAGGTCCTCCCTGGCCACCAGCGGGGTGTGTGGGGATGTTGCCAGATCTAGGTTGGGAAAACTCCTGGAGATTTGGGGATGGAGCCTGGGGCCTACAGGGACATCAGTGGTATACAGTACTGTAGAGTCTGCTTCCCAAAGCATTTTCTTCAAAGAGCTAATCTCTGCAGTGTGGAGATGAGTTGTAATTCTGGGGGATCCCCAGGTCCCACCCGGAATCTGGTGTCCCCAAGTCATATGAAGAATGAGAGAGACCTCAGAGAGAAGGGGGGGGTCAAAGGGCAGCTTTTAGGTTAACACAGAGAGAGAGAGAGAGAGAGAGAGATTGGATTTATACCCCACCCTTCACTACCCAAAGGTGTCTCAGAGCGGCTTACAAACTCCTTTCCCTTCCCCTCCCCACAACAGACACCCTGTGAGGTAGGTGGGGCTGAGAGAGCTCTGACAGAAACTGCTCTTTTTCAAGTACAGCTGTGCCAGAACTATGGCTTGCCCAAGGTCATCCAGCCAGGTGCAAGTGGAGGAGTGGGGAATCAAACCCGGTTCTCCCAGATTAGAGTCCGCGCACTTAACCACTACACCAAACTGGCATCCCATTAAGGAGATGACATTTATATACACTTGGAGCAATGTGGCACCCCCCCCCCCCAGTGTCCAGGCACGCTGAGTTGCTTACTCCAATACAAATCTCCATAGCCATGGAAGCTTGCTGGGTGACCTTGAGCCAGTGGCAGTCTCTTGACCTAACCTACCTCACAGGATGGTTGTATGGTTAAAATGGAGGAGGGGGAAAGCCAGTTTACATCTCCTTGAGCTCCTTGGTATAAAATTGTAGTAAATGAACTCTGCCTTTTCTGTATGTGTCCAGACATGCAGGTATCTTGTATGTCATTAGCTGACCAAGGATTACAGAATCCAGACGGATCTTGTCCACCTTCCCTTAAGGATATGAGAATTCGATGGGCCCTATTCTGAGAGCTTTTCTTTAAAATTGCCCTGTGAAGCCCACCAGGCAACTTGCTTTCCCCCCCTTTCTGCTTTGCTGTTTCTGCTGCCTCCTGCTGCTAACTACTATCTGTTGTCCTCCAGCCAAAAAGGGGATCACAGTTGCATTCCAGCCTGTTTCGGCAGAAGAGCACAACTGGGATTACCCCGCAGTGGTGTTTGCTCATAGGGGAAGGAGGGGTGACATGGTAAATGTTTTGCTCTGGGGGCCTGCCATTATATGTCTGTGTGGTTTATTGCACAAAAATGTTTCAGGTTTATTATTATTTATTATTATAGTCGTACACACACACACGTGTCGTTAGGGTATGCCATGAGCATGGATTTTTAAGGGAGCCCCAGGTTTTGCTTTTGCAGTAAGTAGCAGTAAAATGGGAATATGGAACTGACACAACTAGCAGCAGTCTCATGTATGGGTGAAATATTGCACTCTCTTTTTTAAAGGGCCATATTTGGTTCTCTACTGAGGCACCTTTGCCTCTGAAGCCATAGGCCATAGGTTTCAGACCTCTGGGCTGTGCACTGAATTCCCTTCTGAATCCAGAAGATGCTTACCGATGCGTTTCCCCCCCCTTGTATTAACTTGGACTTTGTAATTGTAAATCAAGAAGGCAATTCAGATTTTCTTCCTCAGTGGCATTAACTTCGTCCTGGAAATTCAGTGAATCGTCATAATTCAGGGTTGCTGGTTTCTATTTTTCTTTTCTTTTCAGGTGATTCTAATGTCTGCAACCATCAACTGTCAAGAGTTTGCTGACTATTTTGCTGTTCCAGTTCGCAACAGACTATGTCCTGCCTACATGTTTGAAGTAGAAGGCAAGCCCCATGCAATCGAAGAATATTATCTGGATGACTTGAAGCCGATCTTCAGTCACATCAGGGTATGGCAAAGAATTAACATCGATTTCTGCTCCCCTACTCTTTGGCCATTGACTGCCGAATTATATTGGGTGCCCCCTTCTGTGTTATCTGTCTTTTATCAATTTACGTCTTTCCTTTCATGTCTTTGGTGCATCTAGATGTTGTGTGCAAACTGCATAGCTTTAAATCCCAGTCACTTTACGGTATTGACTGGGATCAGAGAATGGTGTGGTGTGGTATCTGGCAGGCAGAGTAAAGGATTAAAGACATTTTTCTTCTCTACAGAGTCCCTTTAATAGTTTTACATCTTGTTTGTTGCCTGAATAGGGCTTAAGTATTATATTTTATATCAGAGGTCCCCAGTGTGTTGACAATGGGCACCACAGCGCCCACTGATACCTTTCCTGGGGTCCACCAAGTGTTTTTAGAACGTGAGCAGGGCCATGTATTTTGTTTGTCCCCAGAATGCTTGCTTGCTTCTTCCCACTCTTCCTGAGAACCAGCGTGGTGTAGTGGTTAAGAGAGAGGCAGACTCTAATCTGGAGAACCGGGTTTGATTCCCCACTTCTCCTCCACAGGGAGCCTACTGGGTGACCTTAGGCCAGTCACTGTTCTTTCAGAACTCTTTCAGCCCCACCTGCCTCACAAGGTGACTGTTGTGGGGAAAGGAAGGGAAAGCGATTGTAAACTGCTTTGAGGTAGAGAAAAATGAGGTATAGAAACCAACTCCTCCTCCTCCCTCTCTCTCTCATCATGTAACTTCCTAAATTCTTTAATTAATTTATTTATTATTTCTATTTATATCCCGCCTTGCCGGACACACTGACTCAAGGCGGCTAACAGGGTTAAAATAACGTAAACAATACAGAGATAAAACAGTTAAAAATACAAGACCGGTTAAAACAGCAGCCGTTACAGATAAAAACCAACAGATGATGGCGATAATCCAAATCGTACCCAATGATGGGAGTAGCATCCAGCAAGGTCTCAGGCCAGAAGATGTTCTAAGTTTCAAGCCAGAATACGTTCCAGGGCACATTCATCAGTGGCAGCTCCTAATGGGTGGAAGAGCTCCGTTTTACAGGCCCTGCGGAACTGTCCTCCAGGAGCTCATTCTGATGTCCTCCAGGAGCTCATTCCACCAATATGGGGCCGCCACTGAGAAAGCCCTGGCTCTGGTGATATTCAGCCTGGCTTCTTTCAGTCCAGGGAGGGTCAAGCGGTGTTGCGACCCTGACCTCAGTGCTCTCTGGGGCACATGTGGGGAAAGGCAGTCCCTCAAGTAGGCAGGCCCCTGACCATATAGGGCTTTAAAGGTTAAAACCAGCCCCTTGAACGGAATCTGGAACGCTATAGGCAGCCAGTGCCGACTGCCGACACTCCCTGCATGTTTCTTTTCTTTATTCTCTGAGCCAGCTACGACATATTGGCTGCCTTCAGATTTTTCCTCCACTGCCCCTTATGCACAAAGTGCTGAAATGGCAAACCAGGAATTCAGTAAGCCACAATTTGTTGTGACATCCAAATCTAGGAGTTTGAACAAATTGCTCTTTTGTTTCTTGCTTATGGACCAGGATTCTAAAGCAAGTTTAAAGCTCAATTCTGTCAAGTCTCCCTATACTTTGGATCATTCTGATAAGAAAAAAAACGGCCCCACTGGTTGACGACCTGATGGCACCTGGGTTTTGGCCACTGTGTGACAGAGTGTTGGACTGGATGGACCACTGGCCTGATCCAACATTGGCTTCTCTGACATTATTAAATAGACACTGGTTTGGCTTTGTGTCTGGAGTTGTTCAGGAAACCCTCTCAAGCGCATTGCCTGAATTGAGAACCGGAGAGGCGAGCTGTTCAAAAGGAGCAAACCAGTTTCTCAGAAACCTCTTTTTGGTGGTTTAGTTTTATCTGCAAAATAAAGGTTTCTAGACTGTTGAGCACAACTTGTAAAATGGTCTGGAGGAGATGTGACTCAGTGGAAGAGTATCTGCTTTGCATGCGGAAGGCCCCAGGTTCAATCCCAGGCATCTCCTGTTAAAAGGACCAGGCAATAGGTGATGTGATAAACCTCTGCCCTGAGACCCTGGAGAGCTACTTTCAGTCTGAGGAGATGATATTGACCTTGATGGACCAAGGGTCTGATTCAGTATAATAGTGGTTAAGTGCGCGGACTCTTATCTGGGAGAACCGGGTTTGATTCCCCACTCCTCCACTTGCACCTGCTGATGTGACCTTGGGTCAGTTACAAGCTCTGGCACAGCTGTTCTTGAAAAAGAGCAGTTTGTGTCAGAGCTTTCTCAGCCCCACCCACCTCACAGGGTGTCTGTTGTGGGGAGGGGAAGGGAAAGGAGTTTGTAAGCCGCTCTGAGACTCCCAAGTGAAGGGCGGGGTATAAATCCAATCTCTTCTCTTTTCTCTCTTCTCTTCATGTGTTCACATCATGCACAGAGTATTCTTTTGAGGGCCTTGTTAGAAGGAGGAGTTACAGATGCTTTTAATGCCTGAAATGGCTTTTGGTTATCTGCAATCTGACTCGATTCCTATCCTTAACAAAACACAAACAATCTGTTTCCTAGAAGTGTGGAGTGCTGTGTGTCTGTGATATCACAAAGGTGCAAATTGCAGATTTCCCCCTCTGCATCCTTAAAATCTCTCTTAATTGGGGTTTAAAAAGATCTAGATTGTCAGTCTAATGTGAATTTATCAGTGAATTGATTAATTTAGTGGAAGGGAAGGGGCATCAGGGGATGCATTAGCTTACACACGCAATGACAATCAAAAATATGCTAATGGGCTTCTGTAGCTGTTGGAAATCCTGATATATGTTTTTTTAAAAATGAAACCTCGAGAAATCCTCTTGTTATAACAATTGCTTGTCAGAGTTCGTATAAGCACTAGTGGTATGTCAACTCCCATGTACAGTACGGAGGAAGAGATTATATAATATCTGTTGTCTGTGAAAGATTCTTGATGATGGGGGGGTTACTAAAAGAGACCAAGGAAGTTGCCTTTCGATCAGGTTAGATTTGTCAGTTGCACTTCTGTTTCTGTAGTCAGTGGTGCGCAGTACCTTCCCCCCCCACACACACACACCATGACAGCGTGTAAGAGTCTTGATCCTTCTGATTTTATTTTTCTTTTAAGATCGCACGTATTTCTTTTTATTTTAAAGGATTTTATTGAACATTTAGCATCAGATACAAAGACAAACCAGTGACAATAAACTGTCGTATGCCGAATACCTAATATCGCATTACAAAATTCAAATAGAAAGAATATGTACTTCACAATAAAGTAGGTCTCAATACCACAAAAAAATTAAGCCACAAATAATTATGCCTATCAGGAGAAAGATGGTGTCAAAGGGTCACTGCAAATAATCAAGTATCAGTTAATTAATGTAGTAAAGCACCTGTAACACAATTCTGATCAAAAGGGTTTTTGTTTTGAGCAATAAAATTTAAAACAGGGTACCAGAAATCATAATCATAGATCGGACATATTTCAGTGTTAATTCTCTGAGGATTTAAAAAAACAACACCTTCCTACTCTATTTTCATCCCTCTCCTGTGTCCCCCCCCCCCCTCCTGGCGACATCCTTTTTGCTCGTTTAGCAGGGAAGAACAAATGCAACGGTACAGGCGGTTGTGTTTGTACCTTAGGGCAACTCAGGAACAGTGAAATACATTGGAGGGGGAAGGGGGGAAACCCTTGGAATTCCTAAGAAAAAGGAGGCGGAGAGCTTTGTTTGCAGTCATGCATCAAAGGTTTTGCCGTTTTAAACAGCATTGGATCAGCTTGTGTGGCAGAATGTTTTGAAAAGTCAGGCAGAGGATGGCTTTGATGCCAACTGGGGAACGGAAGGGTTGATAACTTTTTTAAATGACCTTTCCTTCCTTTCCCCACAATTTAAAAAAAGAAAAAGAAATCAGAGAAATAAATTTCAGTGTATTACAATCACTATCCAATATACTATTAAAAAAGAAATTCACTAAAATACAGAGTTAATTTTAATTTGGATGATTGTAATCAGAGGTCATTTCGGGGGGGATCGCAGTTCCCCCGGGTGAGGTATGGGGGGCGGGGCACATGATGAAGCCCCGCCCCCTGCTTCTGGCCGCCCCGCTTCCGGCCCTCATTCAGCCAGGAGGAGGCAGGAGAAGAGGGAAGAGGGTAAGTTGCTCCCTCCCTGCCTCTCCCCACCCCTGCCTGCCTGGGGCCAGGGAGGGCCTTCGCGGGGCTTCCTTGCACTCCCGCCGGCCTTGCAGGTCCACCGCCGGGCCCCTTATGGGGCTCAGCAGTGGAGCTGCAAGGCCAGCGGCGGCGGCCGGGACCGTTGGGGGCGGGGTGTGTGGCCTTATGACACACTTCCGGTGATGTCAGGGGGTGTGACATATGCTAATGAGTTATGCTAATGAGTTCCCCTAGCTCTTTTTCTACGAAATGACCCCTGATTGTAATATAATGCATTGGAATTTATTTCTCTGATCTGGTGACAGAGGAGGCTTACACTGCTCAACCATTCACCTTTCCTCAAAGAAAAACTCGCTGTTAATTACCTCCATGCTGGAGAGGAGATAAATGGAGCGTAACAAAAATGGAAGGATACTTTTACGCAATCAGTCTCCTGTTTTGACATAGTAGTTAAATCCAAAACTTGTTATAACATATATATATATATGTTCAGTTTTTGCATCTGTTAAAACATCATTATGTTGTGTGCTAATTTAGGGTGCGGTCACACTGTCCTTTTGATCGGGATTCGCCGCCGTTTCCTCCCACATTTAAAGTTTCTGTTCACATGCGCCAATCTGCCTCCCACGCCGAAGCAGGCTCACTCTCGCAATGGTCGCGGGTTTTCCTGACCCCAGGAAAATCGAGTACTTTCCTGGCTCTCGCGCTTTGAACGCACGATTTCACCTATATGGACAGCCCTCTTTCGCAATGATTGCAAATAGGGCCGTCTGACCGCTCTCCTTTAAAAAAAAAAATGTCAGTGCTTACAGCATCCTGGTGGAGGCGG